AAACGATTGGTTTGCGCCGGTGTCTATTAAGAATTTCAGTGGGGGATTACTTGTCTGAATGTAACCGAGTTGCCTTTGTATGTGGAAATTTATTTCTATTTTTGTTTTTCTGGTTTGGGGCACTTCCGAAAATCCTCATCATTAGTCGGGGTGAAATTAGTCTCTACTTCCTCTACGATAGGAGCTTCCGCGTGGTTATACGGTGGCTCGTATCCATAGTTAGGATATTGTTCGTAAGTACAGTACTCTTGATTATAGTTATAGTCAGGATAGTCGTATTCATAGTACGCGTCGGTGCTATAGTCGTAGTCAAAATCCGTCTCGTTAAAGTTTACCTCCCGTGTTTTAAAGTAATTGCTCGGCGGTGGGTTGCCAAATCGTCTCCAGTCATGTCCAGTCGGTGGTAAGGGTTTCGGAACAAAGGGAGTGACACCGCTCATAGGAGAAGGGCGCGAATTATTATTTAAATTGAAGCCCTGTGGTTGCTGAGGTCTGTTAGGAAGCTTAAACACATTACTCTGGGGGTTATAATTTGGTGGAGGAGCACGCATCATCTGTTGCGTACGAGTGGGTCCGCGTGGTACATGCATCTGGGGTGGTAGATTGGGCCTCCAACCCTGTGCAGCATGCGGTTGCATAGGTGGCTGTCTAAATGAGTTCAGTATATTATTACCCTGTGGTCTAGGTAGTGACGGCATGTTAAACGTGGTAGGTTTTGGAAGGAAATTATTTAATGGTAGGCTATGTGAAGGTTGAGTCCATTCCTTCTTGTTCTGGCTGCCTTCATTTCGTTGTTGGAGGTAAAGGGTGTTTAATTCCTCCTGTACGAATTCAAGTGCTTTCTCCATACTTTCGGGACGCATACATCTTATTCTAGACCCTAGGGGGTCTTTTAATCCGCGTAAATAAGCTTGCAAGGTCAGTTTTTTATAGAGTGCGCGCTTAGCTTCAATAGTCGTACTAATCGTTTCATGTAAAGTGACATAGGTCATTATTGTACTAAATAAACTTTGAACTCGCTCGTAAAATTCTTGCGGGGTACTAGACCCTTGGGTTTGTAGTGATAAATCACTGTATAATGCGGTTTCGTCGCGATGGTCGGCGAAGTTATTTATAAGAGCGTTTTTAATGCCGGCCCAGGTTTCGGGTATTCCATTCGAATTTATTAGCCTAGCCGCGGATCCCGTTATTTTATTTAAAATCCCGTTAATAAGAGAAAGATTGGCTAGTTCGTATCCGGGCTCATTTCTTACGTGGGCTAACACAAGTTGATCGCACAGGTTAATAAAGCGCGTAAGGATGTACGGGTTACCGTCAAATTCGGGCAAAACTCTAAGTGACTTATAAATTAGGTCTATTTCATTTGATTGGGCCATACTATCGGTCTCTAAACCTCTGTTCTCGTCTATAATACTAAGCTTAGAAGTCCTACTACTATCTAACCTAACGTTCCGTGTTCCCCTTGGATGGAAAATTTTGGAAGCTTTATACTAACACAGTTAAAATGCAATAAAATACAATAGAAAAAAAAGGTGTATATAAAATTAGGATAGAGTAAAAAAATTAATTACGGAACTAGGAAGGGTAAGGATTGAAAGATTCAAGCACTTACAGCATTACTTCTTCTTGCGGAATCAATGCCTGGATTCGCCTCTGGACTGGTGCTCCCGTAGGTTCTGTATCTTCTTGGTCACTCTTGATTCACTGACTCTACTTTAGAAGATCCTACCGACTGCGCCAATTATGTGGGCTCCAGCCAGAGGTTGCAAAAAAAAGCAATCTTTATTTAATATATATTTAATTTAAAGTAATTATTACAATTAATTCTTATAACTAAGTGAGGTGACTCTAATTCGATGTTTGAATGTAGAATGGATTCACACGGTAAAATATTAGATCCAGGTAATATAAGACAGTAGACACGTTATGCTGACACGGCGCCTCGTGATCGTCGTAAGCCGATGCAACGCAGCAGATTGCCTGGATTAGGGCTGCGTAACAAGTTCCTTTCATAGTATATTATTATTGATAAACGATTTATATTATTGATTCATCATCATCATTACAGCCCTTCACAAGTCCACTGCTGAACATAGGCCTCCCCCAAAGAATGCCACAAAACACGGTCCTGAGCCACCTGCATCCATCGACTTCCTGCATGTCTTACCAGGTCGTCACTCCATCTCGTGGGGGGACGCCCTACACTTCGCCTACCGGTACGAGGCTGCCACTCGAGAACCTTTCTTCCCCATCGGTTGTCGGTTCTTCGAGCTATATGGCCGGCCCACTGCCACTTCAGCTTACTAATCCGTTGGGCTATGTCGGTCACTCTGGTTCTACTGCGGATATCCTCATTCCTAAGTTTATCACGCAGAGAAACTCCGAGCATAGCCCTCTCCATAGCTCGCTGAGCGACCTTAAGCTTCCTCATACGGCCAGCAGTGAAGGACCACGTCTCAGTTCCGTAAGTCATCACTGGCAACACGCACTGGTTGTACAATTTCGTTTTAAGGTTTTGAGGTATGTCTGACGAGAAGACTTTTCGTCAGTCCTCAGGGTGCGTGCGTTGTACGTTGCCAGGTCGAGTCGTCTAAGGTGGCAACCGAACCTCCACCGGAGATTCTTAGCACCCCCTGCCCCGCCGTTACCATGGTCGCCACCGTAGCCAGGAATAGCGGGGCCGCCGGGGACTGGGGGCCGTTTTTTTGTTGCTCTCATCATTGGGGGGTATTTGCCATAGTTGCCACGCTTGGCGAGCGGGTTGGCAACCGCAGTTTTTTTATTGTAATTTGGCTATTATCAGGAAGATGCTGCTGCCCATCTCCTGGCTGTTTCCCTTTGTCGCCTTTTACGACACCCACGGGAGGATATGGGGTAGTGGATATTCTTGACCGCCACTACACGGCAAAATTATTGATTAACAAATACAAATAAATGAATTACTTGTGTCAAGTAAAGTGAAGGGTCATTTAAAATAAAATAATATTTATTACATGGCAAGATAAGAAAAAGTGCAAGGGAGATAGATATTATTCCATCTCACTTCCATACAGGCTTCAAGGCCGTCTACACTACGTCAGAAGCGGTTGTGATGGAAAAATCTTACTCTTTTTCTGGCCTAACCACCATCCGCCAAATTCGTACCGTCCGTTAAGGAACTTCGTTCCAAAACTGGCAATGCCATACTGCCTAAGAAAATTCTCAGTAGTTCTATTCTATAAAATAGAGGGAATGTTTCATCAATACCTACCAACTTTAATTTTTTTTAAACTATGCATTTCATGTATATATGTTTTTGGTCTGATTTGACTGATGGATAGTAATAGGCGAGCATAATGTGAAAGAGGCAGTGGGAATGTTTGCAGTTCTAATTGCATTAATTTGCATGAATGATGATTAGATTGCAGGATGATGTTAAGATTGCAGTACTTTGGTCCTCAATCAACTCGGTTGTCCAACTCTCTTTAAAATGGTCAAGGAGGGCTTACTACCAAATGCTTCATAATTGAGAACTTTTACTGCTTGTGGGGACTGTTCTGCTAAGTTTGCAACTCATTTATTACTTAATTAATTTAGTTTTTGTTTTTTCAGCTTTGATTAAGAATATCTTATTATTTTATTAATACTTTAAGAAAGATTATCAAACATGTTGACATTAGATAAATTAATTTTTATTTTCTTACAGTGAATATAGTTTTCATTTCACTTCATTACACAAAATGCAACATGTCAAATGTTAAACAAGTAAGATTATTGAAGAAAATGGTAATTGTGTTTTTTTGAGCACTGATACATTTTACAACTAAGTTAAAAAAGTGGAACTTACAAATAGTAATGTTTTAAAATTGCTAGCTTTGGGTAGTTAATCTAAAGGTAAGCCTTGAACTTTAACAGGTTTAATTTTTTTTAGTTTTCAAGCCCTGTTTTTTATATTAAAAATACTCAATAAACAATAACCCCTGGGAATGAGGTGATTTTTATCATGCTGGTTCTAATAAAATTCATATAAATAATAGTATAGAAATGTTGTAAAATTTTATGCTTAAAAATTAATCCCTCTTCATTTCTTGATGGCTTCTCAGGACGGAGGAATTTTGCGAACCGGTGGTAAATAAAAAAACACTTTCATAAAATAATCAGTTTTATCTCGGATTTTTGACTGAATATCAACACGTATAGAATGTTTAAGTCATAGTCGAAATAGTATTCGTGTATAAATTATGAAAAAAAAGAAAAATAATTTTCAAGTAAGATATTTAGATATTTAATAATAGTCTTACTTGTATAGCTTTTTATCGGATGTAGATTTTATAGGTTCTGGTAAAACTTCAACTTTTTCTTTTCGATTGAATATATTAATTGAATGTCCGGAACGATTTTTGAGCAGTTTGACTTCAGGTTTGAATCTTGGTATCTTGTGAAAACTACTTCTTTTAGACATTGCTGATAGTTTGCGATTTACTTGGTGATGACCAGATGTTTTTTGAATAAGTATGGACAAAAATTTTGACATTTATTTAGGAGCTTATATCAGTGTTGCCAATACAGAACAATATATAATCCAGCTTGAAACGATAATAAAATAACATTTCTAGTAGACTCATTATGAAACATTTTTAATAAAATATTGTCCATCCTTAATATTATTCAGTTTCATTTTAGCCAACTATAAGTAATTTTAGTTTTATTTTAAAAGTTAATTTAATTAAGAGTAATTTAAGTGGGCGCTTCTCAAATATTTCTATTGTATGACATCTTATAGCTGTACTTAATACTTGAAATTTCTCAGTCATCATTCCAAAAGCACATTCAATTGTATTCCTCCCTCGGCTTATTCTGTAGTTAAACACCCTTCTCAAGTCATTTAAGGTTCTTTGGGGATATGGTCTCATGAAGTAAGATAGAAGGGGAAATGCCTCATCCCCAATAAAATAGTATGGAAATTCATAGTTAGATGGGTCATTAGGAAGTTTGGAAGGTAAAGGAATATTAAGACGTCCATGTTCAATCCAACGTTTGATCCTGGAAGCACTGAAGATTCCACCGTCGCTGTTCCTACCAGCATAGCCAGTTTCGATAACAGTAAATAATCCATCGGCATTACAACATGCCATTAATACTATCGAATGGTAGGATTTGTAATTAAAATTACTTGATCCCGAATTAGGTAATTTTTCTATTCTGATGTGTTTACCATCACATGCCCCTAAGCAGTTGGGTAAATTCCAGAGGCGATCAAAACGAGCAGCAATGTCTTTCCAATGTTGCACATTTGGTAATGGCATATAGTCTCTATTTAATATCTCCCATATTATAACTGTAGTTTCAGCTATGACCTTGCAAATTGTATTATCTCCTCTTGCAAAATACAATCCTAGGCTTACAAATGAACAACCTGATCCCAAATATCTGTAATTAATAACAATTAATATTAAGGTTATTTTCAGGATCAGAAGCTAAAGAAAAGTGGAAAAATCTACGTAGTGTTTTTGTTCGCCATTTGAAACCGCCTAAAAGTGGAGCAGGGACTGCGCAAAAAAAACCATACTACTTAGCTGATTTTATGCAATTTACTATACCGTTCATAAAAACAGCAGGAAAACCATCAGGAAATTTGAACGAGACAATAGAAGATAATGACACATTGCAACCACAGTCTCCTGAACTATGCGAACAAACACAGTTCACAGAAAGTGTACCTACAAGCACTCAATCGATCTCGCAACAGCATTCATCTCTTCCTCCAACAAGCACTCAATCAATCTTGCGACACCAATTACCACCAGCAACAAGCAATAAAAGAAAACGGAAGAAGCTTGAAGAAACTCAAGCTGAGCAAGATATTGCAGCTTATTTTAAATTGAAACGATCTAAAATTATAGAAAACTGTGACAGTACTGAAAATTCAAACAAAATGTTTTTACTGAGTTTACTGTCGGACGTGAATAAATTGAATGATAATCAAAGAAGACTGTTTAAGAGGAGAGTGCTTGAATTGATAGACGATATTATGGACCAAAGTAGTCCCATCACACTTTTATCTACTCCTTCACCGACTGACAGGGCAATAAGTACGCCAAATACCATAAATGAAAGTGTACAATCAAATACTGCCACACTATATTATGAATCAATACCTATGTTTTTATCACAGGAAGATGAAGAATAAGTAATAATTTTTATAATTGATTGAAATAGCCTATGTTTTAATTTGATGATTGATTGATTCATACTAAAAATTTAATATACATTTTTAATTACATATGTAACAATGGAGTATTATTTACCTTAGGGTTATCAGAATCCTTTCTTCCGCACTAACACACTCTCTAAATATAGTATTTCGTTGATGTATAGCAGGCTTTATTAATGTAACAAGATGCAGGTAGGTCTCTTTAGACATTCGGTAGAAAGACAAAAATTTATTATCATCATGTTGTAGTTCTTGTGCGGCTACAAAAACTCTACAATTTATGTTTCTTTCAATATATGGATGAATCCAGTATTTTCTACTCTTGCGTTGACGTCTTCTGTTTCTATAAAACAGAAAAGCTGCAAGTGCTTCTTCGTCACTAGAATCGCTCGACATAACGTCCGTCCACAAAAACGAGTTTGCACAAATGATAAATTTAGTCATTTTTCAGTAGCATAATATGCGAGCGTCGGGTAGCGAACAAGTATCCAACTAGTATTCTACTCGAGTATCGTACCTTACAAGTATCGTAATGGGAGAAGGGCCTAAATCTCAGAAATCTAACCAATATATTTTTGAGGGTTAAGCCAAAGTACATTGAATTTGCTTTATTATACACTCAAGGACATGATGTGTATCTTTTTTGTATGAAGTCGGCATTCTTTGCTCGTCACGGAGTATAGTATTTTGTGCCAACGTGGGCTGAGCTCAAAACAGTAACTTGTTATGGTTATTGCTTTGAGGCCCTGAGCGAACATAAATAATACGTCAGCTGGCTGGAATGGAAAACCTTTAAATTAAAAGCTTAGAGTATTTATAACCAAACTATAGAGCGCGCGTTAGCAAGTCAGAAAGGCACGGGAGTGAACAGTCTTGAAATGGCAAGGGCGACGTAATTAGTCACGAAAGATCACATGGGTAAATTATTCTTTCGACGGATTTTGATTTGAATTTTAAGTTACCATAGTGAAATTTGCCGTGCCAAGCTGCTAAAACGACTCATGAAAACAAAATAACAAGAATAATAATATTTCTTTTCATCGATATGTAATATTTCGATAAGAAAACACAGATTTTAACAAAATTACTTAGGGTGTAGCGGAAGGCAAACGGCTGGGGTAACACAGCACGTGCCCCGCACCACGTTGTACTCGAATATTTTTAATAACATGATTTCTTTCATAATAATTATAACATAATTAAAGTATTAAAAGTTAAGATCCTTTGTATTCCTAATCCAGATGGATCAATGTCTAAAACAAAACTTTTGAAAAGGTTTTTTTATAGATATATAAAAAAGGTAAATGCGGTTAAATACTATTCTAATTTCAGATATCAAAGAAGCTGTGATTTGGCATACAAATGGTAGGTAACAAGAAGCAGTATAACAATAATTTTTGATGCATATTTAGTAAGCGATCCGCGCGCCTTGAGTATGAATAAACAAGCTATAGAGCTTGTTTATTTATACTCTAGGATTAAAAGTCACGAATTGATATATTTTTATCAAATATTAAGTAAGTAAAGGCTTAATCCTATAGACGTATATGTTTCTATTTGTAGTGTCGTGTTTTCGTTTCGTCGAGTTTCAAACTACAACGATTCTAAAGAAGTTTTCACTTCTAAGAGTTATGATTTAGGTATATGTAAAACGTAGTGATTAGGTGGTTTGCAGATTCTATGATTCTTCATTATAGAAACAGCGTCGTCTGTTTGCATATTTTGCTGTTCGCTGACTTGTGAAATGCTGAAGGCAAATGAGGGCATCCAACGACTTTTTTTGCCACCAGGGCGGCGCCACTAGAAAGCGAGGTATAATATTTGACAGATTTCATAGCGGGGAAGTTAATTTGTTCGGAAAATGTGAAAGTTATTGTTTCTTTTGTGTACTGTTAGCTATATTTTATATTAAGAACGTTAAAAATAAATAAACTAAACCACAAATATTTATGAAAGTAGCAAAATGAAAAATAAAGTTAAAAATGTGCAAAAAATTAAAGAGCAAACAACTGACGCATTGTTTTGTGTATTAATAATATAATACTCTAGAAAATGATAAACTTTTATTAAAAAATAACTTCCTAATTAAATTACATTGTGTAACAAAAAACTTTACTTCACTATCAAAAAGCGACATCTGGTGAGCAGAAAATTATTTGCCCTCATTGTAAAGTGCTTCGTCATTTTATAATAGTCTATGTCGTAGTCCTATAGTTAGAGTTAGGCAGATCGTAATCTGCCTGGGCATTTCATGATAAATAATTCAATAAATAATTCCAAGCATTTCATGATACGTCTCCATTTTATGTTTGGCCGATAATTTATAACGTTGACTTCTGTGAATATATTATAAATAGTATATTATGATATTATAATAATAAAATAAATAGCTTTCTAACTCTGAGTATTTGCACAGACACAATCTAGTAGCCAGGATTCTACACCAGGAGCTCGCTCTGAAATACGGCCTCGTGGATCGGAAACTGCCGTATTATAAGTACTTGCCGGAAGCCGTGCTCGAAAATGACCGCGCCAGGCTCTACTGGGACCGGGCCATCATCACAGACAGGACTATTCTTGCGAATAAGCCTGATATTGTGCTGATGGACCGAGCACAGTCAAGGATCTTTTTGGTCGACATTACCATTCCTTATGACGAGAACCTCGTGAAAGCCGAAACAGATAAGGTGACAAAATATCTGGACCTGGCTCACGAGGTTACCGGCATGTGGGGTGGTCTGCCGACCGAAATTATTCCTGTGGTCGTTTCTGCGAACGGGTTAATCCCAGTCAGCCTCCCGGGTCATCTGAGGCGACTGGGACTCCGTGACGGACCGCTCCAGGCTCAAATGCAGAAGGCGGTGCTCCTCGATACCGCCCGCATCGTCCGCCGGTTTCTTTCCCTTTCCCCCTAACCCTCGGCCGTCTGGTCTCCCCTGCCGAGGGCTTCCATCTGGTTGGATTTTAATATATTTATGTATTTTTTTATGTATTTATTTTATTTTATTCATATTTATGTATGTTTACCATTCCCCCAGTCCCCGGCGGCCCCGCTATTCCTGGCTACGGTGGCGACCATGGTAACGGCGGGGCAGGGGGTGCTAAGAATCTCCGGTGGAGGTTCGGTTGCCACCTACGACGACTCGACCTGGCAACATACAACGCACGCACCCTGAGGACTGACGAGAAGATTGTGGAGCTGGAAGAAGAGATAGACAAGTTACGCTGGCATATTATAGGATTATCCGAAGTCCGAAGAGAGGGGGAGGACACGGTAATCCTCGAATCCGGCAACTTGCTCTATTACCGGGAGGGCGACCATCTGTCCCAAGGAGGTGTCGGATTTATCGTCCACAAGTCTCTCGTTAACAACGTTGTAAAGATTGAGAGTGTGTCGACGAGGGTTGCGTACCTTATACTCAGAATCACCAAACGGTATTCGCTGAAGGTCATACAGGTTTACGCACCAACCTCGGCACACCCCGATCAGGAGGTGGAGGAAATGTATGAGAATATCTCTAGAGCCATGCATTCCTCCAAAACCCAATATACGGTGTTAATGGGAGACTTCAATGCAAAACTAGGCACAAGAGAGAACGGTGAGCTGAAAGTAGGGAAATTTGGAATAGGGCAACGGAACCCAAGGGGCCAGCAGCTGGCCGACTTCATGGAGAAAGAGGGACTCTTTATGATGAACTCTTTCTTCCAGAAGCGGCCCCACAGGAAGTGGACCTGGTCGAGCCCCGACGGTTCGACAAAAAATGAGATTGACTTCATTATGACGACCAGACGACAACTGTTCAGTGATGTCTCAGTGATCGCGAGGGTGAAAACCGGCAGCGATCACCGAATGGTTAGAGGCACACTGAACCTAAACGTTAAGTTGGAGAGGTCTCGTCTAATGAAGTCAACGCTCCGTCCCCCTCGTGCTCTTTTCCAAAGTCCCGAAACCTTTCAGCTCGAGTTACAAAACCGTTTTCAGTGCCTAGAAGACTGCAATGAAGTGGACGATTTGAATGACAAGCTCGTGGAAACTGTCCATGCGGTCGGAGCTAAGTTCTGCAAGACCCGCCGCAGAAGAACACAAAAACTCTCCGATCACACTCTTAATCTCATGGCTGTTAGACGGGAGATGAAGCTACATTCTTCAACAGATTTAACAGCATACAGGCAACTGAACAGACAGATCTCCAAATGCATGCGGCGGGACTTACGCAAATTCAATACAGCTCGTATTGAAGAAGCGATCGAGCGGAACCGAGGCTCCAAAGTCTTTGCCAGAGATCTGTCTGCCAGAAAGCGCCAACTGTCAAAGCTGAAGACAGAATGTGGCAGCATCGTTTCCGGGGCACCTGAGATTTTGAGTGAGATTGAGAGTTTCTATGGGCAGCTGTACACGTCATCGTTGGAGCCGCACGCAAGTGTGAGTAACGATCCAAGAGCGAGTCTTATCCGACATTATTCCGATGATATCCCGGACGTCAGTCTGAGCGAGATTAGAATGGCTCTCCAGCACCTTAAAAACGGCAAGGCCCCAGGCGAGGATGGAATTACAGCGGAGCTTCTGAAAGCGGGTGGAAGACCGGTACTTGAAGTCCTTCAGAAGCTCTTTAATTCCGTCCTCCATGGTGGCATTACACCGGAGGCGTGGAGCAGAAGTGCGGTGGTCTTGTTCTTCAAGAAAGGCGACAACGCTCTCTTGAAGAACTACAGACCGATTTCCCTTCTGAGCCGCGTCTACGTGCTGTTTTCGAGAGTCATTACGAATCGTCTCGCGCGCAGACTTGACGACTTCCAGCCTCCCGAACAAGCCGGTTTCCGAAAAGGCTTTAGCACCATAGACCACATACATACCCTTCGGCAAATTGTACAGAAGTCCGAGGAGTACAATTTGCCACTATGTCTGGCGTATGTGGACTATGAGAAAGCCTTTGATTCCGTCGAAATTTGGGCGGTGCTGCAGTCCCTTCAGCGAT